AGAAATACATTTCGCTCGTTAAGATTAATAGTTTTTGCTTTTTCGCAAATAGTTACAAAATTGAAAGTTTTACAATTACTAGGGATACTTAATATTATGTTGTCGTATAAGAAGATTTCATTAGTTTCTAAATGTACAATTGATTCGTTTTTTATTACAGGTTAAATTTACAAGTGTTGGTATGTAATTGCCTCTAATTGTGGGATTTTAATAATGTAGATTATGGTTGTTTTATTGTGTAGTACAGAGATATCGACAAATTCTAACATTTCCTCTGCTGTCAAAGAGGTTATATTGCTTTCTTGTAAAATGTTGTGAACTTCATTTATTTCATTTTCGTTTTGGAGGAGGGTATTTATAATATTGGACTTTGCCCATTGAATGGCACATTTAATATTAAAAATTTCTTCTTTTAAGAGTCAAGCTTGGTTTTGCAAACTAGTTGACACCTCTATTTTTAAGAAATTATCCTTACTAATTGTGTTGGGTAACATATTAGAGATTGTTGTCAGATTATTTATTCTATTTTGCAATTGATTATTTATAATGACCTAGTCATTATTGTTTGTAATAACGTTGTTAAAATTAGCTTCTATCATTTCTAAATCTGCATGGTCGGGGTTTCCAGCTACATACTTCCAAGGTGATCCAATCCAGTTAAGGGATCTGGCTTGGCGCCTTTGAAGTTTCGGCTTGAGTGTGCTTAATGTTCAATTTCGTGAGTAAGGGTGTGATACAAATAACTATTTCTTAAGTCAATTACGGTATGCTCGCGTATTTTGAAAAGTTCGGTTTCTATCTGCTGTAAATCTATTATATGAATAATATTGGTTGATGAGGTTTTTAATTTCCCTGTGCCTTTGTAAATAGCTATGGTGTGTGCGTCGGTGAAGTTTGTAATATCCGTGGTTGCCAATGCCAAGGGCAGGCTTATGAGGAGTAGAAAAATCCTGCAATGGAATCAAACAAAGTGATTAGACAGGTATGGGCCGATTCCTTCATAATCGGAAGAAACCTGCAGTCGGACGACATCTGGTTTGAGTGAATGGGAATTATTTTTTATGTTATTTTTTTTTTTTCAAACTAAACAGACTTTCTGGTTTTGTTCCTGGTAGTCTCGGACATTCTACGTTGATTTTGTTAGTTAATCATTTTTTATATTACTCTTATGAACAACTCTTCCTGCTTCAGTAACTATGGTTGTATTCCTATTTTCTTTTACAACTCCTTGTTTAAATCGTGGGGATAGCTTAGAACCTAATATAGTATTTAGCTTAACAAATATTTTTTGTCCTGGTACGTAATTTTTGATTTCGTTACGTGCTTTGTTATGTGTTTTCAGATCTGCTATTTGTTTTTGTTTTAGTTTTTCAATGTAGTTTTGTCTGTTTATGTCATATTGTTCTGGGTCAGTGGTTACATTTCTACCGAAATATACCTCTAGTGGGCGTTTTTGGGTGACTGAGTGTATTGAATAATTATACTCATAGACGGCTCTATCAAATAATTCTTCGAATGTGCGATGTTCTTGTTTTGTCTTTAAGCATCTCATGATTTCGGCGACGCTAGACTGAAATCGTTCAACTTGTCCGTTTACAGAGCTTTTGTAAGGGGGTGCTTTAAAAATTTCGATGCCTAACTGGTCTTTCATCATAAAGGTAGAAGTTGCTGAATTATGGGATTTTTCGTTATCTATTACAACATACTTTGGTACGCCAAAATAAAATAAAATGTCGTGCAGAGGTTTTCTTATATCTTCTATTGATTTGGAGTTAATAATTTTTGTTTGAGCAAGCTTTGAAAATTTATCTGTCGCTGTTAATACCAATTTCTTTTCAGAGGAAAATATGTCAATATGAATTGTATGTCCTGGAAACTCAGGAATTGGAGTTTTCATGATTTCTGGGTTCGGAGGATGCCTGTCGTATTTCGCTTCTTTGCACACCTGACATTGTATCACTAAGGCCGCTATTCTCTGTTTCATTTTGGGGAAAAAATATTTTTCAGATAATTGCAATTTGTTTTCCTGGGCATTTTTATGTGCTCTATTGTGGGTCTATAAATTACGTTTTTCCTGATCTGTTTCTTTTATTACATCCTCTACTTTTGTCTGAGTGAACCTAGCTTTAAAAGATCCGAAATGTTCCGGGTGTATTCTTTGAATCTGACCCATTATATTTTCGGCAGTATAAATGCCATTTATAACTGAGGGATTTAGGTATTTTCTTAAAATTTGTATTAAGTCGTTGTCCGAACGTTATGCTGTGATATGGTGTGTCTATGGAAGGTGGGGAATGGAGTAGTGAACTTGTAATCAGGTGGGTGTTCTTTAAAAATGAAAATTTGATTTTTAAAAACGTTGATGGGAACCTCAGTGCTGGGTATTAGATTGTGGCCGGAGCTATTGGCGCTATGTTGCGTTGCGGTTAGCGAATGGATTTCGTTTGCTTGCGGTGCCCTGGAGAGTGCGTTGGCTACTACATTCTCCTTTCCTGGTTTGTAAAGCAATTCTTTATTATACTCATCTAAGTATGATTTCCATCTTTTGATCGCGATACCGCCTTTCCAGTTACACTCGTGTGTAAGTGGTTCGTGGTCTGTGTAAATCTTAACTTTGGATTCACCGTATAGGTATCCCTTAAAAGAATTTACCGCCCAGCGTATGGCTAACATTTCCTTTTTCGCTGTTTCGTAGCCCTCTTCGGTTTTAGATAAAGTTCTAGATATAAATGCTATTATGCTCTCTGGTTGGCTGCGCACTGCTCCTATTGCGTAGTCGGAAGTGTCTGTGGTTAAAATCGCAATTGCAATGCTGTTGATAGAATTCAAAGCAAACAAGCATCAATGTGTGTGTGTGTACATGTATACAGAAATTCTTGGAATTTGCGTAGCAGCTATGCTGCTAACACGTGCGTACATAACTTTTGTGATTCTTACCCGATCTTACTGAAATTTTCGACTGTACATCTTATTGTAGAATACAATAAAGAATATTTGTATATTCTCAAAAATGCAATTGCATATAAATTGTGGCTTAAATTGGTGGGCAATACAAGTTGGATAATTAACTTGATTTATAGCTTTAAGGTGGGAGCGGGGAGGTGGCGGTAGGTATAAAATAAAAGATACTTGATATATATATACTATTCTAGAAGCTACGTGTCAAGTTTGGTGACTCTAGCTCATATTATTTGCCGAAATTGCTCAAAAAACAGTATTTCGATATCGATTTTTATCGATTACTTGGAAACGGGGCAAGTTATCGAATATGGGAAACAAAATCGATCTGTGCGGGCATTAGGAGGATCTACAGCTAAAATTTCAAATTTTTTCTAGCTCTCATAGGTTTTGAAATCCTTGCGTTCATACATACGGACGGACGGACGGACAGACAGACGGACATGGCTAGATCGACTCGGCTATTGATGCTGATCAAGAATATATATACTTTATGGGGTCGGATATGCTACCTTCTGCCTGTTACATACATTTGCACAAATACAATATACCCTGTTTAATGGGTTCAGGGTATAAAAATATGTAACTTATTGTTGCCGGTCTGGCCGATCGGTAATTAACTATTCTGAAGTCTTCAGTTAAATAATTTGAGCTTACATTATTTAAATCAAAAATATTTCACACTGCGGGTTATGGCTCGGGTTATTACAACCGGCGGCACTCTCTATTACTAATTTATAACATTTTTTGCGTGCGTCGATCCGCTCTCGATTAGCACAAGCCGAACACTACTGCGTCAGTTGGAAATAATCGGCAATGCTCTCTGTGCCCGTAATTCCGGTAAGGCTCGTTTATTTAAGAGAGTGAGAAACGGAGCTTAGAGTGAGAAACGGAGCTTAGGGGTTTGGGTATAGGTGCCAATCTGTGTACGCCAGAAAAAGATAATAAGGAAAAGGTACACAAATTATTTAATGCGACTGCACTGATTGACAATCAATTGCAGAAAAAGGTCGAGTCTGGCTCGACTCGCATTTTTCTTCTAGATCGAACACAAGTGTGCAATTTTCAAGTGCATTCGAGTAATTTTATATTTCATATTACCATATATTAAATATTTTTATTTTATATTTCTATTTTATTACTATTTTATTTTTGGTGCCAGCAAAAGTGATAACCAACATATTCAGCATATTTCTGTAGTTATGCAAACTACAATGATTATCAAAAAAAAATAGTACTAAAACTAAAAGAAATCTACTACTAAGTGTCAACCCAGTTGTTAATCACAACTGCATTAAAAAAAAGCATTGCCTACTTTCGGGCACACTTGAAAAATAGTCTTAGCTAACTTTGGTAACAAGCGTCACTACAAGATCTTATTGAGCTAAGAATATTCATATATTCTCAAAAAGACAAAAGCATTGAAATATTGGCTTAAATTGGTTGGTAGTTCCAACTGATTAATTTATTTGATTTATGGCAATGGGGTAGAGCGGGGATGGTGATAGCTATAAAATAAAATATGCCACATACATATATACTTTTCTAGAAGCTACATGTCAAGTTTGGTGACTCGAGCTCTAAAAACCTTTGCTCAAAAATCACGATTTCGATATGGAAACGGGGCAAGTTATCGATTATCGGATTATTCGGGGTATAACAAAATAGTCTGTGCGTGAGTTCCCACATTAACTTCGTTTTTGGTCGGGTCCATAACTCGCTCACTAATTTGGTCGCATTTCTTCCCCTTAAACGTACGAGTTATATGAAATTATAAAATGGTTTTCCACTTCTATGTGAAAATGTTGCATTTCAATTGGCCATTGTTAGTAAGGGTACCTAAGCAGGTACCTTGGTCGGTCGCTTCCGATAAGTGCACTATTGTTGTTATTACCGAATCATGCAAGTGTTTTTTTTTCACTTTGCATAAAATGTACACGGTCGGCGGCTCAAGGACAAAACATGCTCATTTGCACCTATTATTCGGCCTACCTACTATTCGGCCATGTAGAAAGGGGGAATAAATTCTCAAAGGTACTCACCTAGCATCTTCGAAAGAAGTAGAAGGCATGTGTAACACAGCAACTGCAGCAGTTCCATATTTAATCAGCTAGAAGAATGCGGTGAATCTTATAACTTCAACAAGCCGTTTATTATTGTCTGAAACTTCAGAGCGGATACTTATACATCAAAACCGAAGAAATTATTGCGTTCAGAAATCTATAACAATATGAAATATAAAGAAAAATAGTACTGTTTAGTGAGAATTGCAAAAATAATATTATAAAACAAGTAAGAGGGAGTGCCAGTTAAAGGCATACTCTGAACCTTCTTCTACCAATGGGATATACTAGCATTAATGAAAAATTGGAAAAAAAATTGTAAATCAAGCATGAGGCTCTAGCCAGGAGTTCCCGCCTAGGGGTTACCCCATAGAGTAATTAACAGATACAGAGAAGGCTTTTGGATCAAAAGATCTTTTTCAAAACATGTGAAGCAAGATTGCGAGGTTGCAAACACAAATTGCAAACCCAACACCCGGTTGTCTACAGCTACTTCCGCCGTTGCCCAAAAACCAAAGACAACTTCTGAACATTTCCCATATGAACCAACAACAACCATAATCAAAAGAAACGATTCGACAATGAAAAAAGCAAACCACAAATTCTGTCCCTGCTATCCCTTTCTGGTTTGAGGCTACAGCATATGTTCCATTGAGTAATAAAAAAAACAGAGGAGGCTTTTGGATCAAAAGCTCTTTTTCGAAACACTTCACGAGCGATAGCGAGGTTGCAAACACAATTGAGTATTACTCAATGAAAAATTGCAAACACAACACCCGGCTGTCTATAGCTACTTCTGCCGTTGTCCAAAAATCAAAGACAACTTCAGAACATTTCCCATATGAACCAACAACAACCATAATCAAAAGAAACGACTCGACAATGAAAAAAGCACACCACAAATTCTGTCCCTGCTATCCCTTTTTGGTTTGAAGCTACTGCCTATGATCTAAGCTTCTACACTCTTCTAACTCATTGTTGTGGTTTCTAAGCACTGCTATGCCTTTAATTCATAAAGTTATGTCTTCTTCTTCTCCACTCGCTTTCAACTTGCAAGCAGCCGGGCAGATTTTATAATTTTTCACTTTTCGATCAGCAAAGCACCCTTTCTCAAAATAGGGTATTTTAACTATTCATAAGTTATGTAACCAAATACCACTAACCTTCTCATATACACATTTTTATCTAATCTCTGAGAAATATATAATATCGTATTTAGTGTGCAACTATTAGTGCAATCAATAATAATAGTTTTCCTTAAACATTCTATACCATTTGTATGTATAAGGGTATCAATGCCTCGACGCGCCAATAGTTGTTGGTGTGTGTGTCTCATCTCACACACATTGGCAAAAAATTTGCATGCATGTGTTTTCCAAGCCAAGGGAAGTACATTCATATATGAATTTGAAAAGATTGCAGCATTCTGTTGCGCATGTGACGGCACATGCTAGGGCTTTTTGTATGCGACCGTTGCGTACAATAAAGTAATACATTATTAAATACATGCATTTTTACAGAAGACCCTATTAATATATTACTTTAATGTACGTAATAAAGATAGAAATATATTCTAAGCATCACAAGAAATTAAATTCTTTAAAACGTGACGTAATAGTATATGAGGTTGATCCCGTATGCGTAACCCTTTGATTTGAATGGCGTGGCCTGCTCGCATTCAATTTTTCTACCTACTTGCGCCGAGACTCGGCTATGGAACAACAACATTAGAACCGAAATACTGTTGTTGTTGTTTCTACGCGCCGCCTTGTTGCAACGAAAGAGAAACCAGCAACAAACACAGTGGCATTATTTGTCCCTTTTCTTTGCACTGAGTTTCCTATGTCCTCTAAATCTTGCACCAACTTTACAGCGATCAAAACACGACGAAAAAAAAATGGGGTTTCGTGCTCACTGTTGTTGTTTTGCAAATGATTTGTTGTTGCTTCCTATAGTATATATCCTATAGCTTTATTTTTGATTTTGATTTTGCGTTTTCGGACCAACCCGGTAAAAAAAGCTCGGAGTGAGTCTTCAGCTCTGTCTCTTTATTACTCAATGCCTATGATCTTAGCTTCTTCACTCTCCTAAATCATTGTTGTGGTTTCTAAGCACTGCTATGCCTATAAAAGTCCCAAAGTCATGTCTTCTTCTTCTCCACTCGCTTTCAACTTGCAAGCAGCCAGGCAGATTTTAATAAATTTCATTTTTCTACCAGCAAAGCACCCTTACTCAAAATAGGGTATTTTCTACTTACTTGCGCCGAGCCTCGGTTTTGCAAGTACCCAAATTGTGTTGTTGTTGTGTAGAAGTGTAGAAGCTTAGATCATAGGCAGTAGCTTCAAACCAAAAAGGGATAGCAGGGACAGAATTTGTGGTGTGCTTTTTTCATTGTCGAGTCTATTGTTTTGATTATGGTTGTTGTTGGTTCATATGGGAAATGTTTTGAAGTTGTCTTTTTTGGGCAACGGCAGAAGTAGCTGTAGACAGCCGGGTGTTGTGTTTGCAACCTCGCAATCTTGCTTCACATTATTTGAAGAAGAGCTTTTGATCCAACAACCTCCTCTGTATATGTTTATTACTCTATGGGCTCTCATTCATCAGAAGCGCAGAGTACATTCTATTTTTAGCTTTTCGCTCTTTCGGCTGTGAGAGCGCAATGATACTGATTTCGTTTTCGTTCTCAAATTTCAAAAAAGTAAGCTGCATAGTAGCATTTTGTTGTATGGCGTTACTCATCTTAGTGTTTATATTGTCTTTGGTGGTACTATGTTCACGCTCATTAGCCACTCTCACTTTGTTATGTTTTTGCCATTAAGTAATAAAGAGACAGAGGAGGCTTTTGGATCAAAACCTCTTTTTCGAAACACTTCATGAGCGATGGCGAAGTTGCAAACACAATTGAGTATTACCACTAATTAAATAACATATAGACTGGTCAAACCGTATATTTGGTGGTGACAATCGTTTTTTTTGCGGCTGGTCCAAATTCGCCTTCGTTTTTGTTCGGGTTCGAGACATGCCCGCATGCTCTCACAGCAAGAGAGTAAGAATACATATGGCCTGTGTCGTGGAACGGCAATGCTGTCTTTTTACTCGCTCCCACTACAGGAAACTGCTTTGGCTTACTCTCAGTGCTCTTTCAATTTGTCTATGTACCGTTTAAATGTTTGTGTGTGTATGTGTCCGCACAAGCAAAAATGCCCACAAATTCAATTTTTCTCAAAAGTCGGTGGCATTTCTTCCCTTTTGAGGGGACGAGTAATATGAAATTATGAAAGGGTTTGCCAAGTCGATGCGAAATTCTTTCATTTTAGCTCGGTATTGCTGGAAAGGGTACCTAAGCGTTGGCATGTGTGCATTTTAAAGTTTTTGGACTTGCTATTCACGCATACTTGCATATTTTGTATATGAATAGAAACATTTATGCGCATGTGTGCCTGTTGGTCCCTGCCTGCCTGTCCGATCCAAATTTGACAATATTTTGTGATTTCTGAATTTCGAGCTCTGCGCATACACACACAAAGACACAAATGTGTGTGAATGGGCAGATCATGGGCGCAAAAGAAAATATCATTTTTGGTCCGCGGTTGTCGCGCATCCTTCTTTTTATGATTTTGGGGTTGAATCGATGAAAAAATGTTGACCCCTCAATACCTGCAGATCCAATTCATATATGAAAAAGCTAAATATTTAAAGACAATAAAATTATGAATACTATAAATATATAATTGCTCCTATTTTGTATTTGGTATATTTGAATATTTTAAAGATTTTATTTTTTACACAATTTTCTTAAAACTAGTTAAGTGATCAGTCACTTGACCCAAATATGCAGGTACAGGTGCTTGGCAAAATTTTACCCTTTCCACCCAACGGGCTGCTGCAGGGGTTCAACCCCAAAATCATAAAAAGAAGGGTGCGCGACAACCGCGGGCCAAAAATGATATTTTCTTTTGCGCCCATTCACACACATTTGTGTCTGTGTGTGTGTGTGCGCAGAGCTCGAAATTCAGAAGTCCAAAAATATTGTCAAATTTGGATCGGACAGGCAGGCAGGGACCAACAGGCACACATGCGCATAAATGTTTCTATTCATATACAAAATATGCAAGTATGCGTGAATAGCAAGTCCAAAAACTTTAAAATGCACACATGCCAACGCTTAGGTACCCTTTCCAGCAATACCGAGCTAAAATGAAAGAATTTCGCATCGACTTGGCAAACCCTTTCATGATTTCATATTACTCGTCCCCTCAAAAGGGAAGAAATGCCACCGACTTTTGAGAAAAATTGAATTTGTGGGCATTTTCGCTTGTGCGGCCACATGCACACACAAACATTTAAACGGTACCTAGACATGAAGAGAGCATTGAGAGCACTGAGAGTAAGTGCGAGCGAGATAAAAATAAACAGCGATGCCGTTCTATCGCACAAATCATATGGAAGAGAGTAAGCCAAAGCAGTTTCCTGTAGTGGGAGCGAGATAAAAAACAGCGATGCCGTTCTATCGCACAAATCATATGGAAGAGAGTAAGCCAAAGGAGTTTCCTGTAGTGTGAGCGATCAAAAGATGTCATATGTATATTTTACTCGCTCGTTGGACCAGATGCAAACCAATTTTTGGAGACCACCTATTTTACTCTGCATGTCCGGTCTATATGTTTTTTGGTTAGTGGTATAAATAAGTACACAAAGTGTCTACGTTTTTGAAAGCTTCCTTTTTTGTTAAATTTTGAAAAGTTTATTTCGTGCGAAGAATAACGTGGTGAAATTGTCAAAATGAACATGTCGCATCAAATAGAAAAACTTGGTGAGGACAATTATGACGTATGGCATATGGCCATGAAAAGTGTCTTGGTGGTGGCGGACCTATGGAATGTTGTGTGTGGAAAATATGTTAAGCCAGAAGGAAATGGTGAGGATATCGAAAAATGGGTTAGTGTCGACCAAAAAGCGATGGCTTACATAATTTTAAATCTGAAGCCAACACAGTTGATGCATATCAAGTCATGCCCAACATCTGCAGCCGTATGGAAAAAATTAAAGGATATTCATGTCTCAGTTGGACCGATTAGGAAGGTCCAATTATATCAAAAATTAATACGTTTCAATATGCAGCAGGGTGACGATGTAGTCGCATATGTCAATTCATTTGTTGAGACAATTGAAAAGCTGGCAGA